CTGTGTCAGTGTGTATCAGGGATCCTTAGGACAGGTGTCAATCCATATCTGCCAAGTGACCCTATGTGGGGGGACCAGTCTCTATTCTGCTCTGTGTCCGTGTGCATCAGGGGCTCTGAGGACAGGTGTCAATCCATATGTCAAGGTGTCAATATATCATATGTCAGGTGTCAATCCATATTGATTGTGATTTAGGAATGTTAGGTGATTTCTGCCCTTTATGGATTAAAACCAGACTCTGTATCAACTGTGTAATTTTCCATGGGAGTTTTGCCATGGATCCCCCTCCGGCATGCCACAGTCCAGGTGTTAGTCCCCTTGAAACAACTTTTCCATCCCTATTGTGGCCAGAAAGAGTCCCTGTGTGTTTTAAAATTCGCCTCCCCATTGAAGTCAATGGAGTTTCGGGCGGTTCGCCGGTTCGCGAACATTTGCGGAAGTTCGCGTTCGCCGTTCGCGAACCGAAAATTTCGGGTTCGCGACATCACTATTTGTCACAGACTGCATCTGCTTTCTACATGATTTTGGGTGTTAGCCGGTTTCTCCCTTGTGATTGTGCTGAATTAGTTCATACTGGGATTGACTATCCCTAGTTTGGATGCTAGACTCCACTGTCAATTAACTGGTGAGCATTTATATTACTTTCTAAAATATCACATGCATCGTGATATATTGGCATTGTGGGTTTTTGTAGCGGGTCTGAGTGAATTATGGGAATTATTTATGAACTCTTTGTTGTGTAAGTTTATGACTAACCTGTAGTGTATTTCACCATGGGAAAAGCTACAAATGTATATACTAGAAAGGATAGAAAGACTAACTGCCACAAACATACCTGTTTTAGTTCCTCTTTAAATAAATCAGAAATTATTGTAAAAAAATAAAATAAAATGAGAGAATAGACCATGGCGGGTTTTATTAAAAGAAAATAAATAAACATGAAAACATAAACAACAAAGCTGTTTGAAAATCTTTAAAAACTATTTTCACAGGTGAAATCAGGATAATTGTAGATTGGGTTGACTAAATGTCCAGAAAGCACAAGACTTCTGTTTTGACAGTCAACATAAATTTTCCCAGCATTGACGTACACTGCACAAAGTAAAGAATATGTGAAATTAAAAGTCCAATTTCAACCACTGTATAAAGAATCATTGTGTCCAGTGGAAGTCCAGTCCACAGTTAGATGGGTTCTAGGTCAAACCTTATACTTTGTATGGGTCACAGCAGATATTATTGGCTTGAATTGTCCTGCAGAAACCACATGCTCAAGAAGAGATTTCAGAAAAAAATGGGGTTCTAGAGAAGAAAAAATATATTAAATAATTTTAAAAGACAGAATGCATTTGTTAATTAAGAGGTTTAGAATACTATACAGTTTATTTATTTGTCCGGTTTGGCCAATTGGCCAGGTATAGTTTGTGAGAGAGAGAACTATTAGCCATATTGATAAATACCTCTGGTTATTGCTCATCTCTATAGAATCGTTCATCTGATGCTGATACTTCTTTTTAGTGCTGGAAAATATTTAAAATGATTATCTATAAAGAATCAAATGCTTCCAGTAAGCTATGTCAAACATCAAGCTTATAAAACACTAGAGACAGAGTGTCTACTCACTAAATGGAGAATTGTAAGGCCTTAATAAGGGGGTGCAGGTTTTAGGACAAAAATGTTTAATTGTAGAATGTATCTAGTTTGGCTATTTTGGCATATAAATCAAAAAAAAAACAAAAAAAAAAAAAAACAAGGCTTAGTGGGGAAAAGCTATAGGCTCTATACCTGTGGGGAAACCCCGATACCCACACCTTACAATTTACCAAATCCAAGCATTCAAAAGTTGAGCTTGAAAAAATATATACCGTATATACTCGTGTATAAGTCGATCTCATGTATAAGTCAAGTGCAGTTTTGTGACCAACAATTGTGAAATATGCTATGCCTCGTGGATAAGTCGAGGGTAAAACTTGGGGCTATGAAAGTCTGTGATTTTTATAATTATATACACACACACACACACACACACTCATACATACACACACACACTCATACATACACACACACACTCATACATACACACACACACACACTCATACATACACACACACACTCATACATACACACACACACTCATACATACACACACACACTCTGCATTATACACACACACACTCTGCATTATACACACACACACTCTGCATTATACACACACACTCATACACAAATTCTGCATTATACAAACACACACACA